AGGATCTAAACGACCTCGGGAAGAAACAAAAGAAAGTATACTTAACCAGGAGGATCCAAGACGTAGTAAACGTCAAAGAACGTCTACTTCATTTGGACCAAATTTTGTGACTTTCTTATTGGAAAATGAGCCTCAAACATTTAAAGAAGCTATGTCTTCTTCGGAATCGTTGTTATGGAAAGAGGCAGTCAATAGTGAAATAGAATCCATATTGAACAACCATACATGGAAATTGGTTGATCTTCCTCCTGGAAATAAACTGTTGGGTTCTAAATGGATCTTTAAGAGGAAAATGAAAGATGATGGCACTATTGACAAATATAAGGCAAGACTTGTGGTCAAAGGGTATAGACAACGAGAAGGTCTTGACTATTTTGATACATACTCTCCAGTTACAAGAATTACGTCCATATGAAAGTTAGCAACATTATCTGCAGTTTATGGTCTTGAAATTCATCAAATGGATGTTAAGACGGCCTTCTTAAATGGAGAGTTGGAGGAAGAAATATACATGGAACAACCTGAAGGGTTTGTGGTTCCAGGTAAAGAAAAGAAGGTATGTAGACTTGTTAAGTCCCTTTACGGATTAAAACAAGCGCCCAAACAATGGCATGTTAAATTTGACAAAACAATGTTGTCAAATGGATTTAAGATAAATGAATGTGATAAATGTGTGTACATTAAAAATGTTCCAAATCACATAGTCATTGTTTGCTCATATGTGGATGATATGCTCATAATGAGTAATGACATTGCCAACATAAATGCTACTAAGCGTATGCTAACTAGCAAGTTTGATATGAAAGACTTGGGAGTTGCTGATTTAATTCTGGGAATTAAGATCCATAAGACTTCTCAAGGTCTAGCATTGTCACAATCTCATTATATTAAGACAGTACTTGAAAAATTCAAGCACTTAGGCTTCAAAGTTGCAAAAACTCCAATTGACGTGAATCTTGCATTAGCAAAGAACAAAGGCCAAAGCATATCACAATTGGATTATGCTCGTGTGTTGGGTTGCTTAATGTACATCATGAATTGTACACGACCAGATATAGCTTGTGCTATAAGTAAATTGAGTTGATATACGAGCAATCAAGGCCAATCTCATTGGATGGCCATGAAACGAGTTTTGGGGTATTTAGTACATACCCAGGACTTTGCTTTGCACTACAGTAAATATCCTGCGGTCATTGAGGGATACTGTGATGCAAATTGGATCACCGGATCAACTGATTCCAAGTCCACAAGTGGATATGTATTCACTATTGGTGGAGGAGCGGTATCTTGGAAGTCATCCAAACAAAGGCTGAGTTCATAGCCTTTGGATAAAGCCGGTGAAGAAGCTGAATGGCTCCGAAATTTCTTGGAAGATATTCCATTTTGGCCCAAACCGTTGGAACCAATATGCATACATTGTGATAGTCAAGCGGCAATTGGAAGGGCTGGAGCGTTATGTATAACGGTAAGTCTCGCCATATACGACGAAGACATAAAACCGTTAGACAATTACTCTCTAGAGGAATTATCACGATTGACTATGTAAAGTCAAGTGATAATGTGTCGGATCCACTTACAAAATGCCTAACTAGAGAGGAAGTTGAGAAGTCATCAAGGGGAATGGGACTGTGGCCGAGAACAAGTCATAGTGGCGGTAACTCTACATAGAAGACTGGAGATCCCAAGATCTAGGTTCAAGGAGATCAAACAAAGTCATTTATGACGGTTCAACATTGTCAACTAAACTTTTGGTCCATTCTCGTAATGAGACAATGTTCAGTACCAAGGATAAAGCATTAAGGCTTTTTAATGATTTCTAAATTTGATACGGGGTTATCAAATAGTGTATCTACGGGATGACACGTTTAGGAATCACCTATGTAAGTGTGAAGTATTAGCCGCTTCAAGGAGAACGTTGTAAGGCCAGTTCTCTACGCACTTATGAAACCAGGCGGTGTTCATAGCTGAAACGAACACAACAATGAGAACCAAAAACGGTTAAGGGTTGGTTGTGTGACTTGTGGTTGTCTAGGTATACACTAAAGTTCGACGGTTCAAAGATATCAAATCTACCGATTGATCGAGTATATCCGACATAAGTTCACTACGGAAAGTTCAAAGGAAACCTACTTATCCAGATGCAATTTAATCCTTACTTGCGAATCACACAGTTTTTCATGCATACTTCCGTGATATAGCCATTCCCCATTCATGTGGGGGATTGTGGGNATATTGTGTGATACAAAATTCAAAGTTTTTTGCGTGAGGAATACACACACAAATGACTTATGTATTTGCGGCCATAAGAAAATTATTAAAGAATTGCCATTTTTATATATTTAACTATCAACGTGGGGTCAAAAGAGAAAAAAGAATGCCCACTTTTGGAATTGGAATATTTTTATGGGTATATAAGCAATTGCTCTTCTTCTAGCTCTCAAAGAGTTGAGAATAAGGCAAGCCTCGCGCCGTCGTCGTCGTCGCTCGCTCGGCTCGGCTTCGGCTTCGGCTTCGGCTTAGGATTCGATCAAATGATTGATTGATTAACTTTTTGGACCAAATTTATTTGTTAATAATAAAATATAAACAGAAATGTTATTAAATATTTATTTTTATATTAAATATTAATATTAAATCCAATTCATTTTTCTGTTTTGATAACAGAAAAGTAACTACCCTCTTCAATTTTTTCTCTTTATTTTTCCTCTTTATTGTTGAGTAAATGATCATTTATGTAATGGCATTTGTGTTGTGGTCGTTTTGCATAAACAGTCATTCTGAAGAGTTGCACCTCTTCAGATTTCAGCCCAACTTTGGCTATAAATACAACACTATTCTGCTCAGAATTTCACTACGATTTTCTGAGTTTCTCTTCCTTCTTCTGCATACTTTTTGCATCAAACAAAGAAAAAGTAAGTGTGAATTTTTTTAGTAACACGTGATTGTTATTTTCTTAGTCGTCTAACAATAATTTTTCGTTAATTTACGCTTTTAAGGTTAATACATGAGAGGATCCCAAATATTTCTACATTTTCTAAAGAAAATTCACTATAAAGTCTTAAAAATATAAATAAAATTTATATATTTATATGTCGGTTTGGTTCGGGTTTGTTTACTCAATACCAAACCAAGTCAAACCAAATCTAGTCTGATTTTTTAATCGGTTTGGTTTGATTTTTCGGTTTGGTGCGGTTTTTAGGTTCGGTTTGAACGCCCCTAATCGAGACAATTAGAGTACTTTTTATATGGCAATATTTCTTTAGTTTGGTTTTTAAAAAAATAATACTTCTATATTTGGATATAATTTAATTATTTTCTATTTTATCCTTAATAACAAACATTTATAGCAACACATATGTTATGGTATGTTTAAGATTATAAGTTTTAAAAATCTTATAGTTATTATGTATATATTAAGACATATTTAAGATTACAAATCTCAAAGTCCTTTTACCTCAAATGTACGTTTAAACTTTGCCACATAAATTAAGACAGAAGATATAATAATTTGTCTTGCTAATTAAGAAATCACACATTCTATATTTAAAAATAATTTTATTATATTTTATTTTATCCTTGATCATATAATTTTATAACTAAAATTATCATAAGGCCACTAATTTTAAACGTTTTCTTTTCTTTATTAAATTTTGTGGGCAGTCATCAAACACGTGAAATAAAATATTTTACTTGTTCGAAAGGAAAAGAAAAAAGAAAATGGAAGCAGGAGTTTGTCAATATTGTGTGATACAAAATTCAAAGTTTTTTGCGTGAGGAATACACACACAAATGACTTATGTATTTGCGGCCATAAGAAAATTATTAAAGAATTGCCATTTTTATATATTTAACTATCAACGTGGGGTCAAAAGAGAAAAAAGAATGCCCACTTTTGGAATTGGAATATTTTTATGGGTATATAAGCAATTGCTCTTCTTCTAGCTCTCAAAGAGTTGAGAATAAGGCAAGCCTCGCGCCGTCGTCGTCGTCGCTCGCTCGGCTCGGCTTCGGCTTCGGCTTCGGCTTAGGATTCGATCAAATGATTGATTGATTAACTTTTTGGACCAAATTTATTTGTTAATAATAAAATATAAACAGAAATGTTATTAAATATTTGTTTTAATATTAAATATTAATATTAAATCCAATTCATTTTTCTGTTTTGATAACAGAAAAGTAACTACCCTCTTCAATTTTTTCTCTTTATTTTCCCTCTTTATTGTTGAGTAAATGATCATTTATGTAATGGCATTTGTGTTGTGGTCGTTTTGCATAAACAGTCATTCTGAAGAGTTGCACCTCTTCAGATTTCAGCCCAACTTTGGCTATAAATACAACACTATTCTGCTCAGAATTTCACTACGATTTTCTGAGTTTCTCTTCCTTCTTCTGCATACTTTTTGCATCAAACAAAGAAAAAGTAAGTGTGATTTGCTACCGAACTTTGTGTTCGCCGAAACACTGGAATTTGAAGTACCACTACACCAGTGTGTAATTCGTTCTATCTTGGGAGAAAATAATCCATAACCTTGGGTACTGGAAGGGGATTAAATTCCTTAAGGAAACACTGTGAATTCAATGGGCTCGAATTGGTTTTCTGTTTATGTTCATTTCTGTTTATATTCATTTATATTTCCAGAATTATATTACAAATACAGTATACTAACACCGATGACACCGGCAAGAATGGTATCAAAAAAGAAAAATAGAAGAAATGGTTAATTTTTTTCATAGTTAATATCTAATGATTATCTATATTTACTGAGAAAGTATAAATTTTAAGATTATTTACATACAATTCAAATAACGTAAATATTTGACATGATTAGTATCCGCGCATACACGCGGGTACTAATACTAGTACAAAGATATTAGAGAACCCCCTAATAATTGTATTGAAGCAGAGCGTAGTGGATACTGGGGAACAGGGACCAATATCTAGCAACAAATGTGCACTCATTAAAAATATGATAATGCATGTAAAACATAGGACCAGCAGGTGCTAAATTTAAGTTAAAACCAGATGTATGAAGGGAGACAGAAAGAGAATATGAAGAGGAAATCCATGCTATTATTCATATCAAATTATCAATTACCCCATCACTTGGGCTGCGAATGACAGTATTCAAGATGTGCATCACACCTTTGCTAGCACCATCTGTGGGAAATATATATTATAATTAGAATTATAAATAAAAAGGTTTATTGAAAGACACAAATACAATTAAAGAACAAAATGGAAGAATCACAGCTTCTTCAATGTGAACGATATATGACATGTCAACTACTAGTATAAGATATGATAAAATGGTAAGAGACTAGCATTCAAAGTCACACAAGGTTAAGACGTCAACTAGAATATACCTCTTCAGCTGAACAGCTGGTGTTATTATCTTAAAATTCCATCAAAGAATAATAACTCAATCAATTAATTCATCAGTTACAACAACAACAACATAATATAATCTCACTAGTGGGGTCTGAGGAGGATAGTGTGTACGCAGACCTTACCTCTACCCTGCGATAGAGAGGCTCTTTCCGATATACCATCGGCATCCTTCCCTCCAAGAACTCCCTACCTTGCTCTTGGGGTTAAAATTAATTCATCAGTTAATTTTGGGAAAAAGGCTATTCGAAATTAAGTGGAGAATAACTGGACTCCTCCGAGCTTTTTTCCTTTGCCTAACACCAAATTGACCACGAGCATCAGAGGCATAAGTATTCATCAGAGCACCCAAATTTAATTTGTCAACTAATTTCAAGAAAAACATTAGCAACAATCACACAAAAGAACAAATTTTATCCCAAGTTCATACCTTTTCTGTCTGGTCGCGTGGTATGAACTTCATCCCCAAAGCATGCTCTTTATTTCTCACCATAACACCAAATTGCGTAAAAAATTTACCATTTCAAACACTATCATGGAAATCAAAATACAAATCAACGTGGATCCCTGAATACGAGGTTTGCTAGGAAACTTGAAATGTTAAATTTTTATCCTTAAACTAGCAGGTATGTCTGGTCGGGACGGGTCGATTAGATGAGCAGATCTGGCCTCTGGGGCATTCTGTCCAGATGGAGCTCCTTTATATAAAATTGTTTATTTGATCTATCAAAATATGATTAATATTAATTTATTTTTTCCACCATTTTTTAAAATTTTATAAAATTAAATTTGTACAATACTTTAATAATATATTATTGATTTTTTTAATTATATACTCATTGAAATAGTGTGACCTCTCTATAATAGTACCCTTATATAATAGTTATTCACTATAAAAGTCAAGTTTTTCTCGCAACTGAATATTATATTATGTTATAATATGTATCCTCTATAACAACCCATCACTATAGCAGCAAAAAAAAATCGGAACCCAAAGATTTTCAGGAAAAATTAAAAAATAGCCACATTTACAAGTGGTCATTGAAAAACAGCCACAGTTTCAAAAGTAATCAAAATTTAGCCACTTTTCATGAAAAGATAAATCTGAACGAAAACACTGTTCAAAATCCGAAAAATATTCCAGCATAATATACTGGAGTTCCAGTATAATGTACCGATCCAGCATAATATGCTGGAAGTTCATACACAAGTGCTCCAATCTCCATTATATTATGCTGGAACTTTTCGTGTTGCCGCAAACTAGTGGCTATGTTTCAATGGCTTTGCAAATGCTAGCTATTTTTCAATGAGCAGTCCAAAAACTGGCTATTTTTACAAAAAATTGGACTGTTAGACTTATTCGCATGTAACAGGCCACGATATATTTTAGAGAAATTTTCATAAAGCACTATCTTTTAGTAGTAATTAGCCATCTATAAATACCATTTGTTATATTACGGATTATAGATACATTTTCTGTGGCTATAAGATGTATTTGATGTATTTAAGCTATTGTATTCATGAATACAGTAGCAAAAATAGGCGTGAATCAGGGAAGTCCAACTAATCAGTTGTTGTATTCGAGTGTATTCGACTGTATTCATGGAGTGAAACATGGGATTACAGCTAGACAGATTATTGTATTCGACTGTATTCAACTGTATTCACAGCGTAAAATAGGGGATTACACTGTTTTTAAAACGGAAAGTGAATCAATTAACATAATAGACTCCTAATATAACTCAACAAACTCAATTATAACACAGAAATTTTGTATTTTCAGTTATAAAAAAGATTCTCAACCGAAAAATACCCCAAAAACATAGCAATCTTCAGAGAAATTATATAATACATCTGAATACATAAATTATATTAATAAAAAAAAATATATGAATACATTCATGGCATATAGCGAGACAGTGAATACAATGAAATACATAGAATACAGCGGGATACACTGAAATACAATGAAAAAAAAGACATTGAATACAATGAAATACATGGAATAAAACGAGATACATTGAATTACAATGGAAAAAAAGACAATCAATACAATGAAATACATGAAAATACATTGAAATATATTAACAGAAAATCAAGTTGCTCAGCCCCAAACTCCGGCGTCTTTGTTCCAAGAACAACCCTAATGTCGTCTCATCAAGAGGGCCGCGATTCTGACTCGAAACTCTCAAAATTTGGCGCAAAGATATTTGGCATGGAAATAATCTCAATCCCATTAACAAAAGCATAAGAGTTTTGGTGAAGGAGAAAAAAGTTATATTGAGTATTGACTTTCATCAACATTGATGACATAATTCTTTTCGAATTGATTTACACACTCATATCGTCACTAGCAGAAGACCAGTAAGGAAAGCGCTGAAGTTACTCAAGAGGGCATAATGATTAGCCGTGACTGAGAAAACAGATTCAAATTTGTGAATCCAGAGTAGTCGGTCGAGATAAAATAGAGACGGAGAATTTAGTGCTAGGGGGAAACAATGAAATTGTAGGTGAATTGAGATTGCAAAATACGGGCACTCATATAATAAACTCTGGTGAACCCTAATGAGAGAGAGGATGGAGAAAAATCTGAAAGAATGAGAGAGAAAAATAATACAAAGAGTATTTTATGGCTTAATGGTAGGAGGTAACCATAAATAGATATTTGGCTATAAAAATCAAAAGGCAGCTATGGAATATAATTTTTTAAAAGGGTATTTATTTAAAATAAATAAGGTATCAACCTTTGCTATAGGAGGTAAAAATTCCTATATTTTAAATTTTAAAATTCNTTCCTATATTTAATTTTAAAATTCACTCAAAACAGTTTTTTTTTAAAGACATAAATATCCAAATATCATACCCTTAGAAAGTATTATGATCCGTCACTCAAAGTAAGAAACAAAGCATAATCTTCTGATGGGTTTGTGACTTGATTTCCCTTTGCAAATCAGTAAGTTACTTCATCCTTTTTTTCTCCAGAACTTTGCTTGATTTATGAAATTAAATTGTTTTTAGGGTTTGTTCGGTGCTTTTTAGGGTAAATCAATGGCGTTTTCTCTTTTATTTCCTTATGGGTTGTTTGGTTTGAATACGGCTTATGCCGGGATAAGTTATACTGATATAAGTTATGCCGGGATAATTAACTATGCTGGGATTGTTTTTTTATTTATTGTTTGGTATGTTGTATTAAATATGACAATTGCATAATTTGTAAGAAGAATGTATAAGTTATACCGGTGCTAATTACCCCACTCTCTATAAGGTATAAGTTATCCCGGTGTTAATTTTAAACCTGACATAACTTATACCTCGTTTGCTAACCAAACGAAGGATTAAGGTGATATTAAATTTTTATATCAGCACTATACCTTCTTATACGTCAAACCAAACGAACCATTAAAGTAATACTATGACAAGGATAAGATGCCTCAAGTAAATAGTTGTTCCTGAAATTACTTTATAGAATTATCAAGTGGAAAAGGTATTCGATTTACTTTTTCCTTTTTCCTTGCAATATTTTGAGTTTTTATTAATTTTTCGTATCAAATTCAGGTTCCTAATTTGAGTTGGTCCAGGTGTTTCGTATAACACCCCATGATCACCCTCCACAACTCCTCTATATGGCTGAATGTCATGAAAATTAATTGATTAATTTATTTATTTATAGTTGCATTAGTCAATGTAATTGTTGAATGGAACATTTTGAAAAAGTTGATGACAATATTCCAAGCTCACTGGTTGATGGTTTATGTTACATTGATATTCTTGAGTTTCATTACTTGGATAGTACAACATTATAAAGATGATTAACATAGTAATGTCCACCCACTGCAACATTATATATTTAACTACTGGACCAAACACAAGGAGAAGATGCTCATATTGGAAAAATGTTCTTTACCAATAGCAACCAAGTTTCTTTTCCTATTACAAACAATGTCTTGTGTTATTTAACATTTCATTGCCTTATGATCACAAACAAATTCATCTATATACAAAAGATGAACACTAAAAAAATAATTCTCAATCTCACATGTCTAGAATATTAGATAAAAAGAACAAAGAATGTTGTGAAATAGCACCCAAAATCTTATTTACAAGATGGTGGAATAGCTCATATCTTGGTCTGGTTTGACACTTTTGGACGAACCAAACTCGGTACTAATGTGTTGCTGTGACGAGTTCTTAGAACCCTAGTTTCATCCGCTCCTCGAGTTTTTGTCTTAAATCTTCTTCTGTAGGAACCTTCCCACCACTCTCCAACGTTTTGCGCCACCAAGTAGTTAGTTCATCCTGTAAAGAATTAGAAGCGGATTTCATATTTAGAGTCACTGAATTCAGAGTGGCTGCAATTTATTAGCGCACATAAAAGAGTCAAGTAAAAACATCAAATTAGCATAATCATGCAGCCAAGTAAGCAAGTGAATATGCTGTTTCCTGCAAACATGTTATTTAATCTTTACATGTAAAAGTGATTAATTCCCTAAAGAGAAGAAGGAAAACGAAGTACTTAACATGATAATAGCCTCACTTTCATCATTTGATGCAGGGTATGGGCAGCCCAATGCACTAATCTCCCGCTATGTGCGGGGTCCGGGAAAGGACCGGACCACAAGGATTTATTGTTTACCCTGCATTTCTGCAAGAGGCTGTTTGATGCAGGGTATAACTTTCCAAATAAAAAGATACAACAGAAATGGCTAACTAAGCATGATAATAACCTTAGCTTTCCCTATGTTTAATTGAATTAGGAACCATCATTTGATTGGCCAGAAAACAAAAACTATCATCGACAGCTCCTTAAAAAAATTGTACAACGGGTAACTATAAAGTATATTACCTCCAAAAAGTCTTGGTTGGAGACATATTGGCTTCCCACAAAACACTCGACTCCACCGACATTTACTGATATGCGGTTCCTAGAATCTCTCTCAGATTTTTCTCCTTTTACACCTATCGATTCCAGAACAGGATATGACGAGTGCAAACGGACAAAGAATAGCTATTTGTTCTGCATTGAAAGGCGGGGGGAAAAAAATTGTGACGAAAACTATAACGAAATCTTACCAGTGATGCATGCAACATAGTATCCTGTACCTTCTGGCCCTGCTTCCCACTTCCCTAATCTCAACCTCAAAAATAGCCCGTCCAAATGTGATAGTGAAGTGTTGGAGTTCATCCATCTGAGACAACCAAAATTCAAAGCGTAATTAGACTGAAAACAATCAATAGGTATATATGTAACAGAGCGACACTAGCAGAAAAGAATGCCAAATAAATTAACTTGGGACAAGAAGTAAAGCTTTACAACCTCTTTTTCCCAAACTAAAAATCATATATTAGCTGGGTTGTGATAATAGACCGATAATGCTTGTGCAAAATCTTATGTATGGCACCGCATCTAACTCTAGCCTATCTATTTTGCAGAAGCTTTACCTAAATCTACATCTAAAGAAATAACAAACTTGACATTAATATACTAACTTGCATAACATGCTTTGCTTACTTGAGAATATCCACACGAGACAACCGGAGACCCCTGATGACATCAAAAATTCCTGTCGGGAGATCTGTTATCTCCTTACTAACAAGATTGGAAGAAATTATACTTTCTTTTAAACTGTTCTCCAGAGGAGAAGTTCTCTTTTTCTGAATTTGATTGGAACCAGAGGTTCTTGCAAACCAACGCTGATTTTTACTGTGATAAGCATGATTAGCAAGTTCAAGCCGTTGACTTTGCTTTATTTCCACAAAGCTAGATGAACATTCATTGCCTGTGAAGAGCTGCAAATTATCGCTCCTGTTCCGGTTTGGAGATGATGTTGGGCAGGAAATAGCCCAATGATCAAGTTGAAAACATCTAATGCACAGACAAGTAGATTCCTCAGCCCCATTATAGGCCCTGATGTTTCTAATAAGAACTTCCAACTCAGACTCCGTCACCTCTGAACAGTTGCGTAAGTCGTGGCCGCTTCTGCCGCAGAAGAAACAAGTTGTTCTTGTGTACTCACCTCTAGTTGAAGAAGGTACTATGTGTTTAAGGGCATCCAATCTCCTGGCAAATAGAGAGGCCAGCGCCTCGGATTTCTTGAACTTGGCGGAAGGTATAATAGGATGTATATTACTCTGATTGATCTCTTTTGAGCTGGCTGCAACATCATCGTCTTCGTCCCTAGACGAAGTCTCCCTTGCGCCTGAGATTTGGTGTTCAATCACACACTCGACACTCGTTAGAGCTTGAGGATTAGGCCTTCTGCATTCCGTGGAAAATGTTAGTGTTTCATGTGCAGTTGGCTTGGGATTATCAGTGTTCAGAACAGTAGTCCCGGGAGTCCTGTTTGAGAATCTAGTTATCCACAGGCTATGAAGAGAATGATTTCTGTTAGGCGTGCCATAAACTGTGTCGCGTTCAGATGAACGACAGGTATTGTTTTCCTCACCAATGATGACTTTAAGTCTAGACAATGAGTCCGTGGAGTTCAGCCCATCATTTGCTTTGCTACATCCAATGTCACTCGAAGCTTTGTTTTCTGCTGAAGCAGTCACATTGTCCCCCCGATGGCACGATATCGGAGGAACTTCAACGAGAACATTGTTATCTTTCGGTATTTCTGTTTCAGCTACTTTCAAGGTAGGACAGTACAGCGACTGAAATACAGTTTGAAACCCCATAGACCTGCTACTCGGATCATGATCTTTGTCATACATAACAATTTCTTGATGATTAGTCTCCTTTCCTTGATTTTCCTCATTATTATTAGGAGTAAAGGTGAGAGCGAGAATAGGAGATTCTTCAAGATTGGATTTAGAGAATCCCTTTACCATGTTCGAAATCCAAGTCATGAAAGAGCTATTACGTGCGACTGTCGATTCTACTGCAGAATCTCCATGCATATGCGTTCTGATTCTTTTACTTCCAATGAAAGACTGCTGCTCAAAGTGCCAGCGTTTCTTACCCTTTGGGATTAACCCTGTACTGTTGCAGCTTTCTACACTTTCATGGCTATCTTCCTTGCCATTCGACATTTTGCTGTCGGCATTTCCTTCAAATAATGCTTTGCCTTTGCCTTTCCTTCTATATGACGATGACCTGCTATGTGTAGGAGAAACTTCAAGCGGAACAGAACTGTCCATAAGAAGTTGCTCCTCCTTCTGATCACAAGTCTCCTTAACCCCTGGAAGATGTACATCATTCTCCGCTATGCATTCTGCTGGCAGACTGGCAGCATCAGAGTTCTTTTTTCGGTTTCCACTATCTTCTTCTAGAGCAAATTCTAATCTTTCGTCCGCTTCCAAGTCTTTGACAGTAGGAATTAAAGCCTGACTGCTAATCAAAACATCTCCGTCTCTGTACTTATCATTAGTCGAAATTCCTTGATTCATTTTCTCTACTAGAGGTTCAATAGTGCCCGTATCAAGCTTCGAATCGGCTCCATGTTGCAGAGATCTCTCTGTTCCTAAATCTCCCTGACCTGCATCAACAAAGTGATCTAATAAGAAACATGTTATGAAATGCGAATGTCGCCATCCTTTCGTCAGCCCACTAAATCAACATCAAAGGTAACGCTCCTCAATCATAACATAACAGGACATCAATAAGGCTTCTTTTTTTTCATTTTTGGCCCATCTGCTGAAAATAATTACGGGCGCTAGCCTAATATACAAAACATATATGTATATTTATAGTTAATATACAAAAACATATACATTTTGCTGGCTATTATTTTTTAGGGTGGCCCAAAAATGTAATTATCCCTTAAGAAATTTATGTATAGGAGCTCCTCCGCAGCTTAGACACAGAACAGATATCTGAATGCTTCTGTGTAACACGGTCTAATAATAAAGTGAAGTTAGGGTAGTAGACTACACCTGCATGATTTTCAGAACTTTCAACCGTCTGAGGGATCTGGATATCTTGACTAATGCAAATGCCCTTCTCAGTATTCTTCAAACTTTCCTCATCTTGATTAGTGCCTAAGGTATCGACTCCATCAGCAGTGTTCATTATCTGCACTTGGCTGCTGCACCCTGTCGGATGACTGTTTACTCAGCATTTAACAATAAAGAGAATAAACACGAGCAACAGTAGATATATATTTCTAGTAAAGACATGTATATATAATGCAGTAGCTTGTTAACTAAGATGATAGCCTTACCTACTTCATTTCCGCATTTTGATCCCATAACATTGGTTTCGTAATAAGCTAGATTATGTTTGTCATCAACAACTCCATCCAAAAGAAACCTTTCCCGAGAAACGATTATTCTTTCATTAACAGCATTTTCATCATAAGTCCCCTTAAATCTGCTGCTTTGTGATGGTGAAGAAATCACATTGCTTAGTCCCACATTCCACAGAAGAAAAGGTTTTTTGTCGGCTAATCCGCTATCAGCACATTTCAGGCTTAAACCTTTGTCAGGGGACCAAACTAATTCAGATAGGGGATTAGATGCTGCAAATGCCATGTGGTCCGTTGAGCTTGCATTTACACCTGCACCCGAATCATCTTCCGTCTCTGTCTTAACATTATGAGTGGTGCAACCTAGAGCAAGTCCTAAATCAATATCATCGTCGTTGTTGTTTGTCATCAGCAAGGAAGACTACAGCTTGTAAGGAAGCCTAAAAAAAAGAGAACATCTCGAAATATTTCAGTCGCTAGCAAAGATCAATGCAAAACAACTAAATGATCTTTTCTGGACATGAGACTAATAAAACTACATTGATAAATTTATGATAAGCTCAAATGCTCTTCTGAATTATTTTTAAACTATGTTACATAACAGTCAACAATAATGTCAGACTTCTTGATATAACCCTCATCATTCCCACCAACCAACATAAAGGGGAAAAGAAAAAAGAAAAAGAAAAAGGACAGCCCGGTGCACTAAGCTGCCGCTATGCGCAGGGTCTGGGGAAAGGCTGGACCACAAGGGTCTACCGTATGCAGCCTTACCCTATATTTCTCCTACATTTCTGCAAGAGGCTGTTTCCACGGCTCGAACCGGTGATCTTCCGGTCACATTACGCCAAGGCTCCCCTTCGGCAAAAAGAAAAAAGAAATTACATTAAAAGAATCTCTCCCTCTTTCTTCAAGAAAGGTTGAGAGTAAGTATTATGTATCATATCCAAATAAAAAACTAGCAAGCTTCCTAGCGATATGCTACTTTAATGGTGCATTTTATATTTATTTATTATACTTAGATTCAGCAGAGATTGGCACCCACATTCTTGGATCTACAGCTATAGAGCTTTCTTTTTGAGCAATTAATATATTGAAGTACAAAGTCTACACCTCTCATGAACTAAGACTTCTACTAACTACCACCGAAGAGTGTGGTACGACAGATCCAACCTTCTACCTTTAATCAGAAATCTCGAATTCATGCCTTAAGAATAGAAAACCATTTAGTACAGAGCTCTTCGTCCCTCAATGGGCCTACTCAACGCGAATTCGATATTAGTATGGACTCCATTGGTACAGAGAGCTATATCCCCTCAGCGGGCCTACCCAATGCGAATTCTGAATTAGTCTCGACAGTAGAATTCGATATCGAATGATTAAACCGAAAAAGGAAAAAACTTCCATGAACTATAACCCCCCCCCCCCCCCCCAAACACACACACACACAAACCCTTCTCTCCCTCACCGCCAGCAGGGGTGAAGCTATGTGTGGCCAACAACTATACTGTGTATAGGTAAAATATTACTTGTTATTTGATCTAAAAATAGAGTTACTGAATTTTCTGGCTTCGCCACCAGGGGCGGAGCTAGCATAGAGCTAGCGGGTTCGGCCGAACCCACTAACTTTGTTCCAAACCATGTATTTGTTTTAAAACTTCATTGAATATGTATAAATTGTTAATTTAGAACCCAGTAACATAAATGAATTAGAATCACGAACCCACAAGCTTTAAATTCTAGCTCCGCCTCTGTTCGCCACTGACCACCAGTAAAACAGATCATCTCCCAATACTTCAGAATTAATGTTTTTAAAATTAAAAAACTGTAAGCAAAATAGAAAAAGGATCAGTTCATGATATTTGAGTTTAGAATTCAGAATTCAGATAAATTACTAGACATTACAGCTGCTAATTAGCTCTGATTAAATACCAATACATATAGCAAAACCAGTGATCTAGGTTCTGCATAATAATGCTACTACCAGCAAAAAATAAGATAAAACATTCAAAAAAAATTAGGAACTTTTGTTATAAACTGCAGATAATAAGAAGAAAAATATATACAAAGCAGACCATCTTAAACTTTCTTCTAGAAAGCATAATTCAAATATATTAACAAACTTAGAATTTTCATAGCAGCATATTCTAAACCAAGATTCAGACTTAACAACCATCACGTTAATTAATTATATATTATCACCACTAAGCATGAGAAAGTGGGTAATTAATTAAGAAAACATATAAAATATATTAATAAAGAAAATCAAGAAACACCCACGTACCATTTTCTCCAAAATTCCATAGCAGCTTCTTTTTCTTTCTCCCAATAAAAATCACAACTTTATCATTTCTTCAATTTTCCTCCTTTGTTGCATTTAAAGAGGGGACAAATCAACTAAAATAATTCAGATAATCACTTGATATACAGAAGAAGAGATTGAGACACTAACAAATTGCAAAAATAGCCATGTTTAAGAATTTTGGTATATACATGTTTGTAGAAGAAGGAATCAAAGCTCAAAAGTCCAAAAGCAGTACATAAAGTCATAAACTTTATTGATTGGTGGTTGAGATAATGCGACGTGGACTGCTCCTTTCCAGTTACTCTCAACTACAAGAATGTAATATTCATATATTTCATTTTATATATTCCTTCCGTCTCAATTTATATGACTATATTTGATCGGGTGCAGAGTTTTAAATAAGACTTTAACAGCTTGTTTGGATGGTCGTTACCTATTCTATTGTATCGTATTGTTACTTTAAATACGATGTTTATTTTGGTTGTTACTTAAAATTTTACTGTATCACATCGTTAAATCCGTCGTTACGTAACGAAGAAATGTACCACTTTATGTAACGACCGATTTGGTGTGGATGCATCGTTATCTTGTCTTCTTCTCTCATCTCATCCTTCACTATTATTAAATAATTTTATTTATCATTTACTCTACCTTTTTATATAATAAATATACCACGTATCATAATTTTTCTTTATAATATTGCAAATTTATTCTTCATATTGCTGGTGCATGATATCATGAAACAACGGCAAACGATACAATTTATCCAAATATTGTATTCATCTAACGATACAGTAAATACAATACGATACGATACATTATGAAACAATGTGTAACAACCATCCAAACAAGCTGTAAGGGATCGTTTGGTACAATGGTAAGATTAGTTATCCCACATTCTGTGTGAATAATTAATCCCACCATTTTAGTATAAAAATTATTTGAGATTAGTTAATACCTCAAACCAAACATGAAATAAAGTTAATCTGCAATTTTATACCGAAATTATTATTTTTATCTAATGTACCAAACGACCCCTAAAAATTTATAATTTAAAACAAGCCACAAAAACTTGTGTAATTATATATTATCTCATTAAAGATAAAATAAGCAATTTAATATTAAATTATTTCTAAATAAGAAAGTATAATATTTTTTACAAACTTTAAAAGAAAATAAGACACAATAATCGAGACTAGGAGTGTACATGGACCGGGTTGGTTCGGTTTTTATCAAAATCGAACCAAACCGACTATATCGGTCTGGGTTGGTTCGGTTTAGTCGGGTTTTTCGGGTTTTCGGATCTTTTTGTTACATGAATATTATTTCAATCTTACTTTGTTAAAATTATGAATAAAGCTTCGACAAGTGAATATATGTTTAGTAAATGTGGAAAAAATTGACAAACATATGATCTATTAGAATATTCTAATGGAAGAATTTTTTTAGTAACACGTGATTGTTATTTTCTTAGTCGTCTAACAATAATTTTTCGTTAATTTACGCTTTTAAGGTTAATACATGAGAGGATCCCAAATATTTCTACATTTTCTAAAGAAAATTCACTNCTACTAAACTTTTGGTCCATTCTCGTGATGAGACAATGTTCAGTACTAAGGATTAAAGCATTAAAGCGTTTTTAATGATTTCTAAATTTGATACGGGGTATATCAAATAGTGTATCTACAGGATGACACGCTTAGGAATCACCTATATAAGTGTGAAGTGTTAGCCGCTTCAAGGAGAACTTTGTAAGGCCAGTTCTCTACGCACTTATGAAACCAAGCGGTGTTCATGGCTGAAACGAACACAACAATGAGAACCAAATACGGTTAAGGGTTGGTTGTGTGACTTGTGATTGTCTAGGTATACACCAAAGTTCGACGGTTCAAAGATATCAAATCTACCGATTGATCGAGTATATCCAACATAAGTTCATTACGGAAAGTTCAAAGGGAAACCTACTTATCCAGATGCAATTAATCCTTGCTTGCGAATCACACAGTTTTTCATGCATACTTCCGTGATATAGCCATTCCCCATTCATATGGGGGATTGTTGGATTTTTGTATTTAATATATATTAAATACATAAAAAAGGGTGAATGGAAAATGGAGGGAAATAAAATTTTTGAGTGAAATTTTAAGTTCCCCCCCCCCCCCTCCCGCCCCTTGGTAAATGGACATTGTCCCATATTAGAAGAGGAAGAGATTTTTTATGGGTATATAAGCAATTGCTCTTCTTCTAGCTCTTAAAGAGTTGAGAATAAGGCAAGCCTCGCGCCGTCGTCGTCGTCGCTCGCTCGGCTCGGCTTCGGCTTCGGCTTCGGCTTAGGATTCGATCAAATGATTGATTGATTAACTTTTTGGACCAAATTTATTTGTTAATAATAAAATATAAACAGAAATGTTATTAAATATTTATTTTTATATTAAATATTAATATTAAATCCAATTCATTTTTCTGTTTTGATAACAGAAAAGTAACTACCCTCTTCAATTTTTTCTCTTTATTTTTCCTCTTTATTGTTGAGTAAATGATCATTTATGTAATGGCATTTGTGTTGTGGTCGTTTTGCATAAACAGTCATTCTGAAGAGTTGCACCTCTTCAGATTTCAGCCCAACTTTGGCTATAAATACAACACTATTCTGCTCAGAATTTCACTACGATTTTCTGAGTTTCTCTTCCTTCTTCTGCATACTTTTTGCATCAAACAAAGAAAAAGTAAGTGTGAATTTTTTTAGTAACACGTGATTGTTATTTTCTTAGTCGTCTAACAATAATTTTTCGTTAATTTACGCTTTTAAGGTTAATACATGAGAGGATCCCAAATATTTCTACATTTTCTAAAGAAAATTCACTATAAAGTCTTAAAAATAAAAATAAAATTTATATATTATATGCCGGTTTGGTTCGGGTTTTTTTACTCAATACCAAACCAAGTCAAACCAAATCTAGTCGGATTTTTTAATCGGTTTGGTTTGATTTTTCGGTTTGGTGCGGTTTTTATGTTCGGTTTGAACGCCCCTAATCGAGACAATTAGAGTACTTTTTATATGGCAATATTTCTTTAGTTTGGTTTTTGAAAAAATAATACTTCTATATTTGGATATAATTTAATTATTTTCTATTTTATCCTTAATAACAAACATTTATAGCAACACATATGTTATGGTATGTTTAAGATTATAAGTTTTAAAAATCTTATAGTTATTATGTATATATTAAGACATATTTAAGATTACAAATCTCAAAGTCCTTTTACCTCAAATGTACGTTTAAACTTTGCCACATAAATTAAGACAGAAGATATAATAATTTGTCTTGCTAATTAAGAAATCACACATTCTATATTTAAAAATAATTTTATTATATTTTATTTTATCCTTGATCATATAATTTTATAACTAAAATTATCATAAGGCCACTAATTTTAAACGTTTTCTTTTCTTTATTAAATTTTGTGGGCAGTCATCAAACACATGAAATAAAATATTTTACTTGTTCGAAAGGAAAAGAAAAAAGAAAATGGAAGCAGGAGTTTGTCAATATTGTGTGATACAAAATTCAAAGTTTTTTGCGTGAGGAATAGTACACACACAAATGACTTATGTATTTGCGGCCATAAGAAAATTATTAAAGAATTGCCATTTTTATATATTTAACTATCAACGTGGGGTCAAAAGAGAAAAAAGAATGCCCACTTTTGGAATTGGAATATTTTTTTTAACCACTTTATCAAGTACAAAGAAAATAGTAGAAAATAAGATTGCATGCTTCATTGGGAAATAATTAATGGTTTGAATTATAACACCTTTTAATAAGTACTTTGTTTGATATCAACAAGGGCTGCGACGGAGTGATAAATACTTATTTAATTTTTAACCAAAGATTTTAAGTTTGAGCCCTATATATGAAATCGTTTTTGTTAGGGAGCGTTTTACCTCTAATATAAAAAAATTTGTTACGAATCTAAATTTAGTCGGGTTCAAATGCGAGTATCCGACGGTAGAAAACCAAGAAAAGGTACTTTGTTTGATGGGATATGAAAGTGTTATGGTGGAGAAACTGTCTTTTTCCTTGGATAAGGTGAACATGGAATTTTGGAATTCTTTATTTGTTCTCTTTTTTTTTCTTTTAGAGAGCATTGGCGTAACTGATAAAGTTATTATTATGTGATCGAGTTCAAGTCATGAAACCAACCTGTTACAGAAATATAGAATAAAATTGTGTACAATAAACTCTTGTGGTCTGACCTTTCTCCATACCTCGCACATAGTGGGAACTTTAGTATATGAGCTGCCTTTTTAGGGCATGACTTTGGACTAACATTCAACAAACAAACAAACAAGAAAAAGATTGCAAATAAGAAAATATGATTAGAAGACATTCGCTAATAAGTCAAATATCAGTAATATAAAATTAGAGATTACGTGATCAGTTTTGGAATATGTTGACTATATATTTTAAATATTTGATTCTCGTGGAGTCCTAGGGATGGGACTTAATTAATAATTTTCGAAGTGGATGTGATCACTAAAAAATTATTTGGACCTCACTAGCATTCTATCCATTATAGTAGGAGAATTAAATTTACTTGCATTACTTATTGGGATTCGATGTTTATATCAAATTAAATAATTTAACCTGCACAGTTAAAAATCAAATTGAGAAAACATATCGTAACCATAATTAAGTGATAAATATATAAATAAATAAAAAACATATGCATTGCATTCATTCAGTTAGTGTAAACATCAAGTGTTGGACAAATTTTTACCTCTCTGATATTCTGGTTTTTTAAATAAAATATATTCCCTACTCTTAAATGGCGAATAAGATATTTGGGAAAACACATTTTCATGGTTTAATTCAAATATATTCACGTGTATTAACAAAAAAATGGTTGAGATGTGTAGTCCGAAAGAAAAGAAGTGAGGGTTGAAATGGTCAATTAAAACTCAATGAGTATTTCGTGTTAAGTCCAATTTCCAAGGTTGTTAGCTCTATCCCTTGTGACAAACCTTAGAGGAAAATGACATTTCCTACCTAACATTCCGTTAAAAATCCTATCGCATTAGACATTCACAATACTTCTACTTTAGTTTTACAATGAGATATTTTGATCAAATAAAACAACAATAACAACCCAGTGAAATCTCACAAGTGGGATCGGAGAGGATAGTGTTGGACTTTAAGTATTGGGCTTTAAAGACTTTAAGCATTGGGCTTTAAAGACTAAGAGTGTG